GTGGAGGTAAGGGATTTATTACCTCTATGTCCTCAGCCCTCCTGAGGTCACATCTAGATACTGTGTCCAGTTCCAGGCTTCCCAGTTCAGGTGTGAGGCCACCGCACCAGTCAAGGCTGGAGCAACGGTCCTGAGGGGAGAGGCGGCGGGATAGTGCTGTCTCAGCCCAAGGCAGCTGCCCTGTCAGTCTCATTTTGTGACACACACAGACTCTGAGCTGATGCTGAAGGCTGATTAAGCAGTAGGCGTCATAATTGTTATTACTGCTACCGTCAGCGAATAAGACGTAACTATGCAATACTTTGGCAACAAGGTAGAATAATAAAATACGTCAAGGTAAAAGTAAATATACATATATGATTTCTGTCTAATGGAAGGTCCAATGATGATAATCCAAAAGGACTGATCATTTCTGATTTTTATGGAAAACTGATGCTAGCAATGAAATGAATTGTCCTGCATTTTGGGGAAATCCCTCTTATTACAACAGGCATTAAGAAGGAATGGGAAAAGGTTGATCTACCGTGTGGGATTTTCCTAAATACAGTTCACTAATACATTGCTTTAGAGTGAGGGATGGAAGAAGACAATGTGATGATGAACTGCTACCTCTGACAGCCATATATTAAATAACAGTGACTTTAGGACAGATACTTGTATGCTTTTGAATTGCATTAGCTTCTCTGTTGTTTTGCAGAAAGTACTTCTGAATGCAGTCTGGTTTAGCAAATAGATTCCAGGCCTCTCAAAACTTATTTCACTTACTATGCGTAGCACATATCTGTCCCTCCTACCCCATTGACTTGTTAATAATAATAATGCAAATATTTAACATCATAGAATAAAACTATCTGTATTTTAGCGTATGGATAAATTATGAGATTATAAAGACTAATATAATGTGTTGGCATAGTTTAAATTGCCATAGCTGGAAATCAAGGTGTTTGAGACAGCTAAATAGATAAATAGGGCTGGGCTGTACAAATTCACAGTATTCTAGAAAACCACATAAGGTGACAAAAATAAGTTAAAGGGCTTATTTGCATTTGACACATGGGCTGTCTACCCTGATTTCTGGAATTACGGCTACAGATATTCCTGAGTTAACTTTAAACTAGGTAACATGGTACAGATAACAGCCTAGCTGTAGTGTACAGCTAGGTACTAGCTATCTCAGGTACAGCTGTCAAGTATTTATTAGCTGTATGGGCTTACAAGCAGCTTATGGTGAAGCAAATGATGTAGATGGTTTAACTATTACCAGTAGCTGTCAAATCTAAATCTCAGTTCAGATGGATGTATTGCTGTCTGACTGCTGCAATTAAATCTAATTTTGAATTGTACAAACATGTAACTCATGAGACATTGGCTTACTCTTATATAGACATTTACATTCAGTGTTGAAGGACTAAATTCAGCACAGGGATAGGTGCTGCAGTGAGCAGAGTACCATGTCTGGTACCAGTTGGGGAAGATGTGGGCAAAGTCAGAGGCAAGCCTCTTCTCCTTTCACAGGGACTTGAGGTAGTTTGTAGTGAGTGCAGGTGCCTCCACAGTTCATTAATTGCTGGGATTCCCACAGATGATTGTTTTGCACCTAGAAGCCTGTGCCCCTCTCTAGAGCAAGCCCTTTTATTTTTTATTTTAGTGTTCCTTCAAGAAGAATTAAGTTATTGCTGTCGAAGGTTATTTTCCTTCTGAATAAAAGCACCTACATAGAGATTTAATGCTCTCTGAGTAATGTTCTCTAACTTCATTGTATTAGTTCATTTATCTTAACTTTCCTGTGTGTTGCTATGTAGACAAGCACTTAGCTGGAGCAAGCAATCTCTGCTTCATGCTTACTGCACTCATTACCCAACTTTATACTAAGCAGCAGACTTAAGACTTAGCTGGAAACTATTTTTACTTCCCTTAGGTGTGGAATCAGTGTCTCCTTATTACATCTCTTCTTCTTGCACTTGTTTTTTTTAGGCTGGGGAGTGTCTGTCTCAGACACTTTAATGAAGAAAACCAAGATCCCAGCCCTCTTCACTATATCTTCCTCTTACATATATGCTATGCTTCAAGGTTTTAATTTTATGTGAAGTAGATGGCAATATTCTTATATGTTTAAGTTTGGAATCCATTGTTAAATTACCTTAAAATTTTCCATTATAATCTCCTATTTTATATTATTTGTAAATTTGCCACACTCCAGTCACTGAAGATAAAATTTTTCATGCTCATCTTTTTGCCTCAGGCTGAATTTTCATTCAGAGTCATATAAAAATGTTTCAGCACTTTCCAAAATCTAGGTTAGTGAAAATTAGGTTGGAGTGTTATATTTTTTCCAATGCTAATAACAGTTCATTCTGAGTTTATGCTTGGTATTTGCAAGGAAGTCAAAGAAAATTCCTTTAGGTTGTGGGAAAAATTTAGCTGACACAGTTGTCATAAACCTAGTTTTAGTTTTGTTTTTTTTTTTCTAAATAAATCCAACACCTTATTAAAAGAAGAGGTAATCTTTTAATTTCAGAGCGTGTCATAAATAAAATGGTTGAATTAAAGATGAATGACCAGGTTTAGTTAAGCTGAAGAGTGGCTTAGCTGTCTTAATTTTTTTTATGTCCTTTCTGTTTATATATTAAAATCAAAATCTTATGAACTCTAATTTTTTTTTTTTTTTCATAAACATGGCCATCCTTGCTTATTTCTAAAACCTAATGCTTCCACTTTAGTGCTTCTTGTAGGGCTTGAAAAAAGGCATGTATTAAGCCCTTTACAAAGAAATATATATTCAAGTAACTAAATGTGGACAAGATCTGTAGAAAGTGAAGTACATTCAATGATAGAGCTTTCAGGATGCCATATGAAGCTGATGAAAGCTTCCATGGACTTTGGTGTCCCTGCTGCACTTTGGTTTAAGTCAAAAATGGCCAGTCATCATGGCCCTGAAACAAGAGCCCTTTAATTTTTGACAACACCTGCCCTTCCTGGATAATGTTCTACCCAAAAGCCATCGCTCTGACAGTGTCCATAAGAGGTAATGGTAAACATTAGAATCTGAGATTAGCAAACTCTGAGGTTGTGAGGATATCAACACACAGGATAGGGCTCTGGAACTAACCAGAGATCACCTTCAGCCTATCATTGGGAAGAGAGAAATAGCTTATGCTTATGCCAGCCTCGTCTCTTCTTATCCACATTCCAGGCTGCCTGCCCAGATAAATCACATTACTTTTATTTCTCAAGAAGGATCCAACTCATCCTTTCTCCATGTTTTTAGCTTGGACTCCACACAAATACTAATATTCCCTTGCATTTTAGCCTTTTACACTGTTTTGATGTTGTGAAGGAACCTTAAATTAGATTTTTCTGCCCATCTTAAGGTCTCCTGACACTCGGGTCAGTTAGTGTCATTCAAGGTTCATTTTGGTTTGCTTGTTTTTTTTCCCAAAGTATGAAATAGAGAAATGCTATGGAGAAACTAGAATAAATTTTAAAAAGCCACAAGAGTCTCCCTTACACAAATAAGATGTTCTGTGGCTAAAAACAAGCTTTCATCATGCCACAATGTTCTGCATTGTTCAGCTCTACTTTTTTGGCATAGAGACAACAAGGGCTTTTGTTTGACACACAGAAGCTCATGTTTGTTCCACGGCCATTGACCATCACAAAGTCATTGCTTCTATAACTGTGGTATTGTCCCATCCCAAACTGACAACACTCTGGCTTGAAGTGTTTTGCACAGAGCTAACACCTGCTAATACGAATGTAAGATGTACAAGGGTGCTACAATTTTTGCAAAATTATTCAGTTTAAGTTCTGCATGATACAGAGAAAGAGGAGACTGCTTTTCTTTGGTATGCTACTAGGTGACCTAAAGAAAATGAATGAGTCTGTAATTTATTCAATAATACATTCCTGGTGCTGCTGCATTCTTCACACCCTTTTTTTTTTTTTACTGTAGATTGGCTGTCCACATTCCTTAAAGGCTTGGGAAAAAAAATCTTCCTTCAATCTTTTTTTACTGATAATTATTAACTAATTCACCTGTTATGACTGGAAGTGTATTTGGATAATGGAAAAACATGCAAGACATAATAAAATTATTGAATGCTAGGAATGATTTTTCTTAGCCTATTTTTTAATGAGGAAATATTAACCAATTGCATTTCTGTGAAATTATATTTGCTGCAAAGCTGATGAAATGAATGTACACAGAGACTTTACTGTGCTTGTATACAAAGCTGAGCTGTCTTGTAATCAGAGCTGTATTTTCTATGGTTTACTTGTTGACAGAAATTTGAGTATTATAAAGAAAATATTTTTTCCCCTGAAAGTGCAAAATGCTTGTCTTTTAGTAGTACAGGGTGACAAGGAACATTTTTGTCTGTTTAAATCGTGAGGCTGAGGAATACAACTATGTCCAAAAACATAGTCTGAAAGTTGGGTGAGCAATAGATTCAAGAGTCCCTTCTTCTAGCAGGACATGTAGTTGTGTTTTGAACAGCTGCTCTTCCTGAAGTTACACTATGACCAAAAAAGATGTTTTCTTGTTAACCCATCCTGTGGATGAAGTAAGAGCTAAAAATAAAGAAAAAAAAGAGCATGGAAAGCAATATGCTAGCCATTTTTTGTTAAGAATAGAAAGCAATGTTGTCAAGGACTGAAAATAATTTCCTCCTTCAGATCTTAGAGTCAGGGTGCTTGTGTAATGGGCCCAAAAGAGATCCCACAGATTAGATTAAGGTTGCTGAATAATCATTTATTTTGTAAAAATGTGGTCTAACATATGAAAGCTTATTCAAGAAAAAAATATTTCTCTTGGACCTGGAATTAAATAATGATACTAAGATGATCTACACATCATTTAGTACCTCTGACTCAGAGATAAAATCTATCCCTTGAATTTACAAATGTTTTTCTTCAATTACTTTGGTGAAATAGTAAGTATAGATAATACCTCCAGAAGACAGAATTATTGTGTGGATTTATATTTTTTTTATTATTTCTAGTAATTCATAGAGACAAACCTGAAAAACAAGAAAAAATTGAGATGAAGGAACCCCTGAAGGGTATGTATTCAATATTTGGTATTCTTTGCCTTTTTACCTTTTTTTGTAGTTCCAAAGTCTAATCTATTGACTAATAGACCCTTCTTATAAATCCCAATTATGCCTAAGGATGAAGGAGATGTTGTGAAAGCCAGCTGGAAGGAGAATGAGGATTTTAAAAGCATTTTGAATTCATCACTCTGAAGAAAGGCTAAAATTATATTCAGAAATTAATGAATACGTTTTCATAGTATTATTAAATTATGTAAAAGATGCCCAGAGCATAAATAGGTATCTTTTTTATTCTCCTTGAATAAGTCTAAACCTAATATTTGTCTTTGGGAATATTTCTGAGCAAAAATTAATGAATAAGTTATAACACACAGGGCATGGTCCCTGAAGGCATTTTGCTTCAGAGACCTGTCTTAGAAAAAAAAAAAAAAAAATTCTCCAGATTCATTTCAGAGATGTTGGGAAAAGTGTGTTAGGATTTATTAATTTGCTGTTGTTGTATGCCAACATTGAATTTTAGAGCTGCCTGTTGTAGGAGTCAAAATCAGGATGCTGCTTCCTCTCCACTCATGACTCACCACTTAAATTTGGACCCCAAGAGCCACCACCTAGTTTGACTAGATTGGTATTTTTTTTTTTTTTTGCAAAATGAAATTTTGTTGGAACATACCTTGTTGTCAAAATACTTTAAACCTTCTAAGAATACATCCTTTGCATAAAAATGTCATAAATGAAGTCTCAGGCTGAGGGAGGAAACCTATTCTGGAAGACCAACTAGACCAACAGTCTTAATAAATCACCCCAAAAAAGGAAGACCCAATATCCAGCCATGTCTGATTTGTTTCAAACCAAGAGCACAAGTGTCGCAACAGAAGTGAATGTGCACCTTCCAGAAATCTGTGTTTCACTAAGCCTCTCTAATGGTCTCTGATTGGAGCTTTTAAATTTTGTATAAATAATTTGAAATACATTGAAAGAGGATGACTGACTCTAGAGGTTTATGGCGGGCACATATGTTCAGGTTTCTGTTAGAATGAATATTTAATTAATAGAAAATGGAACGGTGGTAACAAGAGAGATTTTTTTTCTGAGATTTGGAAAAATGACAGAGTGAAGACTATAAAGTCCCATATTAAAACATGAATGCATCATTAAGACCTGTTATTTTGTGGAAAACGTAGGAAAATATTCAATTTAATTTGATAGGGGAACAATATTTAAAATTTTTTTAAAGTTTCTTAGAACAGGAGAAAATAAGTCCTGTCAATCTCAGGTAGCCAAATAAGAAAAATGGGAGTTATTATACTCCCTTAACATGTCATAACTCCTAATATTCTATCTACCTAACTGTATTTCGTCTTAAAGGGAATGTATTACTTAGTTTTGTTTAATTAATTATTGCTACAATTGCTAATGAAAAGACTATTGCATATACAGATTCTCTGTATTCACAGTAGTGAGAAACATTGCTTTCAGCCTGTACATCATGCTTTAAAACAATGACTATGGATACGTATCTTTCTAAGGCCCATTTCATTGTGCTGTGACTGGAAGGCTCCAAAGTTTCACCACATCCTGGTATTTTAACTGTTTATTTGCTACTTTAAATATATTCCCTTTTCAAGATTTAGATAATGAAGAGAGCAAATAACATCCTATTCTAATTTCTAATCAACTTCTGTCATTAAATTTAGGAAAGTTACCTAATGACACGGAGAATAACTAGAAATATCTCAGTCACTTGGAAGACAGCTGTGTCAGGAACTCATTCTCCTGTATTTCGTCACTATATTGCTAAAAAAAAGTGAGAGTCTCAATATTCGCAACACTTCTTTTGTTTCCAGTTAGATATAGCACTCATGGTACTGCAAAAGAATGTCCTTATTTTCTTATGTTTAAGATTGGGAGTTTTACTAAGCCGGGATGAAAACTCCTCAGGGATTAGAGTTAAAGCTATCTTGCAGTTTCACAGCTGATTTTTCATGCTTTAAAATCCACATGCTTTTTTCCCATTGTCGCAAAAATTAGTGTGTAAAATCCTACGAAAAGTGGGAAAAGTTATGTGAATGAGTGGATAGCATAATACAGTTTCACTGTCATAATGTTAGTTTTTACTTTGCACATACTGGGCATCTAATTATGACTCTGAGATCATAGCTGCCAGGGACTGATCTCAGCTAATGTCTATTACTAGCTATCTGTATCCATTAGTAACTATCCGTATCAATTACTGGTTATCCATTTCAAGCCAGCTGGCAAGTGACAGACGTGTCATCTGTGCATGTGATCCTCTTATGTTCCAGGACTGATTCCAGGGTTTTTATGAACTTCTGCCAGAGTGTGCAGTGGCCCAGGTGATGTCCTCTTTCTAGTGCAGGCAGCAGCAGGTAGTGTGAGCTCTGCCTTAATCCTTGACAGTTTTCTGAAAAATCTCTCTTTGGGAATGGACAGACAATTACAAGTGATTATGTTATTATAGTAAGCAGCTGGGGCACCTTACTGTAGTTTAGAGGATAAGTGGCAACTTGTTAGCTAGAGTTGTCTGCTCACAACCATGCAGCAGGATGTACGCTGTGCACGTATGAATGGGATAGCTCAGGAGTAACACAGTTTGCCATTTTGTCCCCTAGGGCTTATCTTGGTAGAATTATTTTTATTAAGTTTTTCCACTTTTCTTTTTTTTTTTAATTATATGTGAACATATTTCTTCTTTCCTAGTAATTCATAAAGACAAACTGGGAAGACAAGAAAAACCTGAAAAAAAGGAAAGGCATGCAGGTAATTTTTAATGCAGAACTTATTTTACATTTTGAGGTACCTAATTGTACACTCCGGAACTAATTGTACACTCAATTTCCATTTCTATATCCCTTTGATTGGAAAAAAAAGATGTTATAGAACTTTATGAATAAAAGTCATAAGATCACGCAAAGGTTTGCCGAAATACAGAACAACATTTTGTATTCTTTCTGCATGTTTGGTTTTTTTTTGTTTGTTTGTTACTCCAGATTAGTATAATGTCCCAGTAATCTCTGAGTTTTTCCAACACTCTCAGCAAGTATGGTTGATAGGAGAATATGGTCATCCAGGCAAAACACCTGAAAACCTGTAAAAAAAGGTAATGAGACAGGCCATGTGAAAAAAGAACATTTTAAATACAATAGCTGTTGCTTAGATGTTAAATAGTGAAGGACTAATTCTGTAAGTAATTGCTTGCATTAATAGTTATCTAGCAATTATTTATCTTCCACAATTCTCGCTGTCCTTTGAAACACCAACACAAAGCTGGAGAGTACCCTGGAATGGGTTGCCCAGGGAGGTGGTTGAGACCCCATCCCTGGGGGTCTTTAAGGCCAGGCTGGATGAGGCTCTAGACAGCCTGATCTAGTGTGAGATGTCCCTGCGCATGGCGGGGTTGGAACTGGGTGATCCTTGTGGTCCCTTCCAACCCTGACAGATTCTGATCTGTTTTAGCAGAGGACTTAGAAGTGCTGGGTTAATGGTTGGACTTGATGATCTTAAAGGTCTCTTCCAACTTAAAGGATTCTATGATTCTGTGACTTTTGTGTTCTTAGTATAAACTCCTATGCTGAAGTCAAATAGGCATCTAAGTGTTTTCTTATGCCTGGTCCCTGTAAGGTACCTCAGGGGATACGGACACATACAAATATCAGTTCTGCACATCAGTGGACAAGTTCCTGTGTCAACATTAATCACAAAAAAGAAATTAACAAATCAGAGTCCACACAGGAGAATATTGCAGACTACCCACTACTCCATGACTACTGCACAAGTCCAGTGTATTTTAAAACCTGAGCCAGAGAGCTAGTCATTACAGTGTACTTTATTTCAATTTGTAAAGTGGAAATTAAAAGCAAACAAAAAGCCCCAAGGAGCATTAGTTATAATGCCATTGCAATTAGATTTGTAATTAATTATAGTGTTTAATCATTCATAGCTGGAAAAACTGTCAGTTTTTATGTGAAGTTCAGAAAATCCTTCAGAAATGAACCAAAGTAATAAACAAGGAAGCTTAAAAATAGCACTAAACCAATAAATGACAGTGTAAGGAAAACAAATGAACAACTAAACAGCATCAATAAGCATGACTCTTCTTCGCTAACTTCTTTCATGGGATTACAGTTGTGCCAGAAAGGCCATTCCTCTCCCAGGATGATGGCAGAGACCTCGGGGGTGGTAGTTGAGATTAAAAGTTCAAATAACATGTTTTGGCATCAACAGCAGACAGAAGCAGCTGAATGAGTCTTTGTGGGTTTTTTTGCAGGTATAGCCGTGGTGCCTAGTTGTGTTTCTTGCTCTTTTATCTCATCTTCTTTTTCTCACTTAAAATACATTTCTCTTTTTTAATAATCATTAATGTTGTTATTTATTAATAGCTATTCACAAAGAGAAACCTGAAAAGCCAGAAAAACATGAGAAGAAAGCACCTTCTAAAGGTAATGCAGATTATTAGGTCTTGTATAATTTTAGATTTTCAGTGCATATATAATTTGGGAAGTGTGGGGATGAGTATTTAAAGTATAAAGCTCTTCTAGTCTATGCTGTATATCTTTTTGGGTGCTCTCCTTTTGCTTGAGCAGGTCTTGATCAGACCCTGAGTGAAGACTTGCTCAACACATTTCTTTCTTAGTTCTCTTATTCCGATGCACAGAGGTAATTATGAATCATTCTCATGCAGCTAAAGAAATAAGCTTATGACTATTTGCATTCCTTGGTGTATGTTCCCCTGCAATGGGATTTAGTAATTTGCCTGCAAAGAAGGATGTCTCCTGTGTATCAGTTTTCAATCTAGTGCAGACCTAACACAAGAGTGTTTATGGTCTCTAAATCCGAGTCTTCCGTCACATCCAAAAATAGATTTTAATTTTCTTGCCTTTCTTTTTTTGCAATAACATTTTCGTTTGACTTCATGATTTGTACTGTCCTCCACGGCAAAAATTACTTTCGTTAAGATTTATATATCTACTAATTATCATATATATTCTGAAGCATTATCATGTATGGAGGTGATTTTCAGTCTTCTTTGGACTGGCAATTTCATCTTTAGCCATGATTTGGATAGAGGGATTTAAAAAAACAAAACAGTTTGCCCTGTTATGACATCATAAAAAGAATAACATTTATTTTTGTTTGTCATTTGAATGTTTTTGCTCTGTTTTATTTCGTTCTTTTCTTTTTTTTTTTTTTAATGTATTGCTTTTCAGAAGCCAGATATTTTTATAACGAAGTTAGACTTCAGTCTTTGCCTACTCAGTTAATGCTTGAAAAAATTACTAAGAAATGCATCTTAATATCAGTTATGGTATTCAGATTAATCTCATAATAATGTGACACATTAGGTAATTAGGTTTAATTTTAACCTGTTCAGACAATATAGATTCAAATGTATAAATCAGTCTTTGTTGGACTAGACCTTGCTGTAAGGAGAAATGTAAACCAGAAAGTAGGACTGAAGAAAGAAAAAACAGTGAAATGAATACTTAAAGCCCTAAAAGACTATGAAAAGTAGCCATTGTTCAGTCTGTCTTTTAAAGGGCTATATGGTCATTTTTTCTACTGTCAATTTATAACTTAAAAGCATAAGATTTTTTTTTCATAAAGTGAAATCACACTGAAGTTATCTGGAAAAAATAAATTCTCACAGTGTCTGTGTAGATTTGAGAAGCAAATAACTTCAAGAATCACTGAGATATTCCTAATGAGCAGCCACCCTGTTTACCCATTTATCTTCTGCTAGCTAACCAAATAATCACTTAGAGCTTTCATGTGTTTAATAGCAGCCATGACTCCAGTCATGGGCTGGAAAATGTTATGAAGAATTTTGCCACTTTATAGCTGGGGAGCTTTGCTGCTGTGTGACATATAGCCATGCTACCGTCTCTTGAATATTTTACATGCCATGCACGTCCCTGTGGGAGAATCCACTACACTAGGGTACTCGTTGCCCTAGTATGTCCGTAAGCACGTTTCTGCTGGCAATGTGCTGCTGAACTATCCACTGCCAAGCTCACCTCTCTTTTGTCTGGGGTTTGCTCTAAGCTTGATCAACTCCCAGCAGTGCTGAGGCACCATTTCAACTACTTGCAGTCCCTAAATGAGGATGCTCAGATCCAGACCAGCTTCAGAGAACAGACACAGGGAAAGTCAGATGGCTACTTCTCCCACAGCCAGCAGGTTTTGTCTTAGTTCAATAGCTAAAGATTTAGGGCAGTTCTTCTGCCCCTCTTAAAGGCTCCAGAAAACCTCAGTGATATGAATGCTGTTTAAACACATCATCAAAACAAGTTTAATTATCAATCATGTCTCATACAGGCAGCAATTCTGTGCTGAAATTCAGTTAGAGAGGATGTTGCTGTCATGTACTTATCACTTGAAAGAAGTGTAACTAAGTCTCAAGGCAGTTTTTTGTTCTGGCAATGTGTCTGGATAGTGACCAAGAGAGAAAAGATAGGTGTCTCCACATAAAATTTTGACAGCCTTTCTGGGACATAGCAGTGTGGGTTTACACAACATATCCTCTGCAGACGTGGACTCAGTTGAGCTGTGCTCTGAACTGAGTACAAGGCTTGTTGCTGTGTTTGTATGACAGTGAGCTAAGAAAAACACCTTTCTGTAAGAAAAATGTAGCCACACAGATTCCCATTGGGTGGAGCACAAAATCAAGCCCGTGTCTGCTCAGAGCTTGAGCTAGGCAAGTTTGTATCATCTGGAATATGTAGTGTATTCCTTACGAAGCTTCCAATCTCTGTGACCGACTTGTCTTCTCGTTAGATGAGTCTCAATAGATATTTTGATGCTTTCTACCCCAGTCTGTGAACCTGAAAAACAGAAGCATGAATTTTGCAAACTGAAAAACAGGAATAATGAATAAGAAAGATCCATGGATGTTGTTGTGTTTTAGCAATATTTTCCCATTCTTTGTAGATATGTTTTTCCCTAATATATGATTGTATTCATTTTTAGTAATTCAAAAAGACAGAACTGAAAGACATGACAAAGCTGAAAAGAAACCTCCACCCAAAGGTATTTATTTATACTACATTTTTAATTAGATTTTACATTAAAATTCATAAGCTTTATTTTTTTTGAGCAGAGAATATAATGTGTATGAAAAATCAGCTAGATGACACTATGATGAAATTAAAATATAATTTGGATTAAAGTGTCTCTAGAACATCCAGGGGTTAGTTCTGTGTATAATCCTTTTTAAAACCCATTGAAATTTCAAAGATGAGAATTAAAGGCACAAACGACCTTTTCTCTGAAAAAGAAGTAGGCCTATCTGTAGGTGATCTGGCATATACATTTTTCACTATAACTACTCAAGGAAATTCTTTCTTCACTAGCCAACAATGCTTGGTCATA